ACACGCACACAGCCCGCTGCGCGCACGTGTGTACTTCCGTTTCGATAAAACTTTGTACTTTGCCTTCCCTCGCGTGAGCACATGTGCAGTGGAATCTATTTTCCATATTTTATCGCGTATTTAACTTTGTGTGAAAGTGAGTGAGTGTATATTTTATTTTGAAGCCCAGCGCTGGAAATTAGAATGGTGATATATAATAATACATGTCCAACGCAGTAAAATATACAACAAGACTTGAAACACAACTAGCAACTTCTTTAGAAACGGATAATTGCTTTCCTCGAAGCACTTTTGCGGCCTATTGTAAGCGGGAGGATTCTATACGCGCCTTCTGGGGCTAATCTTATTAGTAGCTGTTGATTGTACGGCCGTATAGAATCCAGCGTGAGTGTCATTATCTCCTATAAAATTTTTTTTCGTATAATAATTAGTACAGTGGGTATAAAAAGTTTGACTGCACCCACATATGATCGTCCCTTATATGTACACCCTCACCTCTAATGCCAAAATAATGCTAAATATATTTTAATTTAAGTTTAGCGAAATATTTGAGCAACCGCGCAATGGCAAAAAGTGGTGTGTCACAAAGCTGGAATGTCGATTATTCGCACACACACACATGAGCGTTAGTCATTTCCGGGCACCTTTAGGCGTGTGCTCTCAATATTATATTATATAAATTGTGTGTGCTATCCTACGGTGGAAATTCTTGTGTGCTTTTACTCTGCGGGTATATTAAAATATTTTCCTTTGGCGCACATAGCAACGCTTTATACAATTGCTCGGCACAAAGGCGCAATAATTTTCATGTGAGCGCATAAAACGTATACACATGTATATATATGTACATAATACATACGTATTGTATGGTATATGAATCATACAGACGGGTAAGTCACCTCAAAGCTACTGAAATTGTTTGTGTTTGTATTTATGTGCATAATTTCCTTCAATATCGCTTTTATTGATATGGAAAAATACTCACTCTTCAGGTTGATTTGCTAAAAGAGCACGTGTTATATTTCCATTTGATTGAAATAAATTCATCAGTAAGAATTTTACCTTCATATGCTAAGCGAAAATATTTGCGTTAAGTGAATCGGAAATATTTTTTTTTTTTGTAATTTAATGTGCTTTTCGGTTTTCCGCAGCAAATTATTGCTCTTCATAATTTGCTGAATTTGCATATTAAATTGTTTGTCTATTAGGCGAAAGATATGGTGCTTTGAGGAAAATTATACATGAGATGGAATTTATTATGTTAAAATTCTAGAAGCTACTCTGTGCCCAAAAAATATGGTGACATTGAATTTATATTAAAAATTATTTATTTATTCTTCCAAATCAATTTCATCCCCTTCAAAGTAATCCCCTACCGATGCAATGCACTTATACCAACGGATTTTCCAACCTTCGAAACACTGGTTGTAGTCACTTTCCGGGATGGCCTTCAGTTCCGTGTTCGCTTCGGCTTGAATCTCCTCTATCGTATAAAAACGGTGTCCCCGGAGCGGTCTTTTGATCTTGGTGAACAGCCAGAAGTCGCACGGCGCCAGATCAGGTGAATACGGTGGTTGCGGAATGAATGGTGCATTATCGTGGTGTAAACACCAAGAATTGTCTTTCCACAACTCCGGCCTTTTTTGCCGCAAACGACACAGAACGTTCAAATAATATTCATTGTTGATTGTTTGACCGGTTGAAAGGAATTCAATAATCGAAGAGAACAGTCAACATGACCTTGATTTTTGAGCGGCTTTGGCGCGATTTTTTTTTTTKTCTCKGCTCTCTTTTGGCACGATATTCGCTCGATTAATCAGTTGCTTCGGGTTCGCAAGCATAGATCCAAGTCTCATCGCCAGTTATAATATGCTTCATGACACCCTGTTAGTCGGAAAGCAGCGTTTCACACACTTCAACGCGACGCCTTTTTTCCAAAAAATTCAATGTTTTCGCTACCAGTCGAGATTTGACGCGCTTGAGGCCCAAAACATCTTTCAAAAAGGTATTGGCTGAGCCTCTCGATATGCCGACTTCATCAGCAAGGCCTCTGTTTGTTAATCGATGGTTTTTCAGAACCAAATCTTTGATTTGTTGAACGTGAGCCTCGTCGGTTGAGGTTGATGGTCGCCCTGGGCGCTCTTCGTCTTCGACACGTTCACGGCCGGCTTGGAACTCACTATACCACTTGCAAACACTTGTTTTAGACATATCCTCATCACCAAAGGCTTTTTGCACCATCCTCAACGTATCCGCAGCAGAAAATGGATTCCGTAAACAAAATTTAATGCAAACTCTTTGCGCAACAAATTTCGACATCGCAAAAAACGAAAATCTCACTTTTAGCAGCTCACAAAACGACACGATCTCAAACACTATTGAATATGTTGACATGAAATTTGACATAAATGTGACTGACAGTACTTCCAACAAACAAACAATAATTCAAACAAGTTTGTAAAAGAAAATAAAGTGCATTCAGCGATTTTTACGATGAGTGAAATTATTCAACAAAGGAATCCAATTAAATTTTCTGCGTGAAATCAAATTCTGGTGCCGAAGAGTTGGAAAAGGCTTTCGGTAATAATTGTTTGTCTCGAGAAAGTGTATTTGATTAGTACAAACGAGGGTCGAGAACGCGTTCACGACGAAAGGACGGCCATCAACATCAGCTGTTGATGAACAGAGATCATACCGGCATCGTTGAAATATCGAATGGATCAGTGATAAGCATTTTGAAAGATCATTTAGGTGTAATAAAAGCGAAAGCACGATTAGTTCCTAAATCAATTTTTAAAAGATTCAGCATTTTCGAACCTGTACCAAGAGTTTATAGGACCATTGCTGCAAATTCAATCCTCAAGTTGGAAACTATGTCAAGTAATAAAGACATATTCACTTGCAAGACTACGTGCTTTTGTTATTAGAAACATTTTATAGTTCATTACATGTAGTTATTTATAATCATAAAATTGTTGAAAGGCAATCGAAAGTGTATGTACATTTGATTATGATAGAAACTACAAATAAGCTCACGAATTTTATTTAATGCTGCAATATGCTTGAGTTAGCTGATAAAATATGCCCCAATGTAACATACCTTTCACAGCAGCAAATTCATATGTGATAACCGTCAAGTATTGTTATTGAGACACCCTATAAAATCGTTACTGCCTTCTGCAAATATTTTATTTTTATGATATACTAAATATAATCTGCAAGTTTGTAACACCCGGAAGGAAAGGTTGGGTAATATTGAAAATATGAAATGATCAGCCTTATGATCTTAGCCTATTTAGCCATTTCCGTCTATTTATATACCAGATACTCCCTCAGTTTTCCAGATGGCAATTTGAAATTGTGTACATGTTCTTTTTTCCATTAGAAGTTGCTCATTTATCGGAGAAATCTTCACAAAATTTACCATGGATCTTGACCTTAGGCACCAATGTAATCTCCAAAGAAATTGACTATACCATACAGTTGCCACTCAAAGTGATCGATCAAGATCATGTTCTTGTAAGGAATATTTTGTATTAGTGAATGATATTATGTTTTTGCTTACTTGTCGGACACTTTATAAGCTCACTACTGTTTTGAGAAGATCTATCACATTTGTGTTTTGCTTTCAGAAGATATTTTCGACACCGTATGTTACTCCACCGCTCAATTAAAGCTTATCAGTTTGGCATAACATGCCAAGTTTTTTTTTACATCAGATAAAGAGTGAGAGAGCTTAAGTTGAAGGTCTCACTACTGATATATTATTGAAGGAGATGCTAATCTGTTTAACCGAGCTGCTTACATGATAGTTTAAGGGTCCGACTGCTCACTCTGGCAATAATGGAGTATAGTGTTCTGGTAGCCCATAGACTTATTCAAAAAAGTAAAGCTATACGTTTGTTCCTTTACTTTTTCATTTCTAAGAAAATAGTAAAGGATTTTGCGGATGCATCTTGCTTTATCAATCGAACCTCATTAAAAATTATGATTCCAGTTTACTTGCTCGATTTTTTGATAAAATTATTGAATTTATTTTTGCTTTGGAATTCCTGTAATTTGTTAAATGCTTCTCTTTTTGAAAGAATACATTACTTAAAACAAGATTTTCAAGCATTATAGTTTATTTTAGAATTATCGATTTAATGTGTAATTTTTCACAAATATTTTACTTAATAAATCCGTAGAGCAGCTAGATACTTATTTAAATTAAGAGCTGTATATTCTTAAATACTCTTCAGGAGCTATATAAAAAGTCATAGCAATACTTCCTCGTAATAGCAGTAAAAGTGAAGTCGTCAATGGGATTGCCGTAATGCGTAAACGTCAGGAACAAAAGCGATAAGACAGAAACGCGACAGCTACATGGCAGCATTTATGGCCATTAAATTTCAACAGCAGCCAGAGAGCGCCTTAGCATTCAACTTCCAAAAGCCACTGAAAGGAACATACACAGAGAATTGCGTACACTGCTTAGCCCCATTTCATGGCAGCCAGCACTCCACCCCTGCTGACATTGGCAAATGAAAAATTAATCGAATATCTGGGGGGCATATGCGGCTGCCGGCAAATTAATGCCTGCCACACTGGCACTCTTTTCAAAAAGCACTTCTGTCTTAGCTGACATTCGACAGTGTCACTTAATAATTTCGCAATAAACGGAAGTGGCGTATTAAAAAGGTATTCAGCGACATTTTATTTAGCTTGGTGGGTTTTGAGTATTAAAGTGAAAGTGAAAGTGAAAGTATTTCTATAAAGTTGATAAAGGACGCTTTAAGAATGATTTGACGTACTTGAAATTTCATATTTTAAAATTCTCAAAAATTACAAAAATGTATTGAGAGCTGGGTTGTATAGTATTGATATCATTTTCGTAGGCATTTAAAATATTTTTCCATTTAAAAGCTGGACTTTGTATATAAAATATTGAAATTTTATTAATAAATGACTTCTCAACAAATTTGTAACCAAAATGTAATTAATTAAGTTTCTTCACTTACCTAATTACTTCATTAAGTAGTTTTCAACACTGTCACCAAAAATCCACAATAATCTGCTGAAAAATAAAGGAAAATGTGTATTAGTATTAATAATATAAATTGCTCTATTTCACATTTAATTAACTCAATATGCGTTTTAATGGCACTCACGAATTAAAATTTTCGTATCCACCAATTCATGCTTGTATTAATTGGTTTTCATTTAATAGATTTACTAATCCTTAAAAGCTGATGTTTAATTCATCACTGAAACTCTCCTGCGCTTTGCGCCATACATAGTTAATTAGAGCATGCAATAAGCCGACGATTACTTATGGAAATGCCCAAATGCTGCTCTACACACACATGTAGCAAGGAAGATCTCAAACACGAGTGGTGCCGTCGCATGCATTAAGTCAGCCAGGCGGAAATCCAGTCTCCGCTGCTGTGCGTTTGCAACAAAGCCAGTCGGAGTTTTCACGAAATTGCGGCAACAAAGCAATTATATATGCGCATATGTATATTATATATTATATATATTACACACAAGTAAATGTCATAATGCATTTATATGTGTGTATATGCATGTATTAGTGAAAAACACACTCAAACTCTCGAATTTGTGTTATGAAAATTGTTTGGAGACTTGTCGAGAATCGAGAGACTCTTCAAAAGGAGTCTTAGTTTTGAGATAGTATTCGTTACAGCTCCACTACCGCGGCTATACGTGCACATATTACAGTATATATATGTATATACATATATGAGAGCTGCCATATGCTTCGCCTCTACCAGTTCGGCTCCATTATTCTTATATTAACTTCAATTCTATACTGAAATTTCATATAGAGAGAAACAAGCGTGTTCGCTTCTATTCACATATACGTATGTACATATGCGTATGTACATATGTATAGTATATAAAAGTAGACTGAAAATACAGAGATTCATTGGTAACGCATACGCATCGGAGTACCTGCTGTTTCTTAAACAACTACACAGCAAACTCTTGTGGTTATTTTCACATGTTTTGTCAAGAAAGGCAAATATTTGACATATTATTAGATTGCATTTTAATTAAATTTTCCTGAAAAATGAAATCGATGAAAAAATGTGTGATCTAAATAATATTAGAAGTTAAGCTTTTTAAAAATAAATATTTTTGAAAATATTATAAATAAATATTAAACTCCTTTAGAGATATTTGCAACCCATTCCATTCCTAGATTAATATTTTCATACGAAGATAATATGGAAATATTGTACTTTAGCTTACAACATAGTACCGTAAAGTTTTTCTCAGAATTGGCATCATTTAATCGATTCTAATGTTGCTAAGAGAAATTTCCAATGAAACCTTTTAGTATTTCAGTTTTAAATGTACTTAACGTACAACAAATCAGGATTATAATCTTAATCTGAACAGCTGCAAGCATTCGAAATTACAAAACAAAAATTTATTAATCTTGGAAACACAACATTGTAGTTGAGACGTGTCTATTTTTATACATGTTTCTAGCTTAAGCAAATCATCAGCTGTGTCCATTTTCATTAAAGTTCATTTAGTCACATTTTCAATTTAAATAACTTTGAGCTAAATTTTGTTTATATTTTAATGAAATGAAATATATATGCTTATGCACAGCTGCTTGTAAGGGGAGAAACAAGTTTACATTAAATAAAATAAATAGTGGCTATAAATATATAAATTACTTTCATTTCAAGCAGCGACGTAAGATCGACTAAGCATTGACTCCAGTATTTTTTGGCGTCGAAAGAAAGAAACGTAAGTATTGGTATATTAGTCAAACAAATAAACTCCCACCAAACTGTCTCGAATTTTTTCACTCTATTCACATACTTTTTGAATATGAGAATATTAAATCCCATATTCGATTTCTTCCGGATTCTCATTCTATTTTCTGAAATTATTACAAAAACTTGCGCACCCTCCAAGAAAAACCTTTGAGATTGGTATCCTTTTATTGTGTGGTTTCAAAACGGAAATCTATAAGCTATTATAGGCCTCTATTAAGCACTTAATTGACTACTTGAATACCTACATAAGTATGTTTCGTACCTAGACCTATGCTTCCAAAACAGCAAGTATAAATTTCACAACTGTGAACTAAGATGCACACTTTTTCTATCGGAAATTGAGGTTTACAAAAACAAAAAACTCTTCAAAGTGGTTTCATGTATTATGGAAAACAGGACCTTTGACTGAAAAAATGCTGCAGATACCAAATAATCATTTAACGAATTTTCTCAAAACTCTCCACTCATATCTTTGTTGACAAACAATATGTATGAGCTAAAAATCCAATAAACACAGTTAGAGTAAGCAAAAACTAATACGGGTGAAAATAACAACAACAAAAGACTAGTTTTAAATAAATGTAAAATAAAATTCAGCAAAATAGCTGACACTCCAAAAAATATGAAAGCAAAATGTCAATCATACTAAGATTGCCTTTTATATTTCGCGATGAGAGAACATAAACAGATATTAATCATCGAAAAATGCTTCATTGTTTATCAAAATATTCTCTACAAAGAGCATTATACTTTTGCATCCGTTTGCATCAAGTTTCGAAGCACTTCTGCCACCTTGGTTGAGGTACTTCCAAAAAATGCGTTCTAAACGAAGCAACCATCTCATTACATAGGAGTCGAAGCATGTTTATCTATTAGTTAGTCATTTACATAAGAGAATAAAAATAAGTCATTCGGTGGCAAGTCAGAACTATAGAAAGAATGACACAACAAATCGATGTTTTGCGTAATGAACCGGTGTTTCCGTCGATGTGTGACAATAGTTGGCTCCGTCATTTTACATCTAGGTCCAATTGACAGTCAACCGAGCTGACCCCACACGATGAACCATCACCAAAGCATGGAAAATAAAACAGTTACCTAGAAAAGTTATGGAATATCTTTTATTGACTACTTTGGACAAAGGAAGAACCATAAAGAAACATATTCGACCGTTATAGTGATGAATTGGGTTTCGAATGTTTTCCCACCTCCATAGATCTGAATATTTCCTATTCTCAGATCTCAAAGGAATGCTCGCTGTGCAGAAATTTTTCTCGAATGATGAAGCGATTGGTGAAACTGATGCCAGTTTGAAGAAGATGAGAAATCACAACAGTTATAGACCCTTATGCTGAATAAAAGAAAACGAATTTTGCCAAAAAAAAAGGATTTTATTAAGGTAGGTACCTTAGGACCTAGGACTTTTCAACTAAGCATCTACTTATGTATCTACGCTCAGGTAATTAGGTGAAACTTTATAAAGTTTATTTTAACTGTATTTCCCCAACCTTTTTATTGACATACTCGAGAACGCGCCAAATGTTATGCGGTCAATTAGCGACCCTCACTTCGATGTTACTATATATACATATGTGTATATATTATTTGTTTATTAATATCTAGTTATAACCATTTGAATTGTATGATTATTAATTATTGCTAATATTGATGAAATCACCGGGTTTTTTTATCAATTCTACGCTATTAGACACAAGTTGTTCGTCCGCATACGAAAAATCCAGTGGTTAAGCCAAAGAAATCTCTAAGTTCGCTGCAAATTTTAAGCGACCGGAAAAAGTAGCCTATTAAAATTAAGTGGGAGCATAAATCAAATTTAACACTGTATGACGAAAATATGATGAAAGCCGCAAAAATTAGGTGGCGGAGAATTTTATAGCGGCGCTGAGACTGTGTGTGCGTTCCGTGGTAGTGTATATTACAGTGTATTCGTTGAGAAGTTTAGTGCTGCTATATATGTATATATATGTATATATGCAGCTAAGTACTTGCTAGGTACATAGATTTTTGACAACAGCTGTGAACAGGCACTTTACAGCTATAAAATTAGAAAATCGCACAAAAGGGACAGGCAAATTATGTCGAAGCAACATAAAGTCGAGAGCAAAGCAAATAATATTGCAGAATATATAAAACGACGCGTACGTGTGTGTGTGTGTGGAAACAAGTAATAAACTAATTTTAAATTAATCTCCGCAGCCGCCGAAATGTGGTTAAGTTTAGGAAGAACAAAGTCCAGTTTGGCAAACAAACAAAGTTTCCGAAACTGGGTTAGCACTGCACATACACTAACACATACTTATATATAAGTATACAACTACATATAAGCGCAAGATATATATAATAAAGTTCTGAGTACACGCTGTCCTTGTTACCGTTAGATATGAAAGCAATCAAAATATTGCGAACTCATCAAAGCTTTTGTTGTTGTCATACTTGTGGTAGTCAAGGGCAAATAGCCGCAGAATAAACATACACACAGTTACTTACATAAATTACAGAAACATAAAATACTTACTGATGAGCCTAAGCTACCAGCTTTCATACACACATACACATATACAATGGCGCGTATTTTCTCCTTTCGCTTGCAGCCATCCACCCCCAGTCGCATCAATTCACTCTTATCATCACTAGATTCGACTTGGGCCGCTACTTAAGCCATTCGAATTAATTTTGCAGGTAACTAAGAAACAGCTTAGACTTAGGCTTTGGTGTTGCTTGTTGTGGCTGCGCCTGTGGCCACATGTTTGGTTTCTGCGCTAAAATCTTGTGTCTGCGTAGATAAGGTGTTTCTATTGGTGTGTGTGTGTGTGTGTGTTTGAAGGTTCATATGTGCCTCCGAAATATTTAATATTTGCTGAGGAGCAATGTAGCTGAAATAGGCGCATAATTAGACATAAGTAGTTCATCCGTAGACATTGTAGTGGAGTCGTTGAAAATAAATTAAGTCGCTTTGTATACATATTCACTGCGTAACATATGGGTAGCATATTTGGATCAGGGGACTACTTTTAGAGTAGATTCATAATCTTAATTGCAGTCATAGCTTTTAACGGGTGAACCAAAAAGAGGTACTTTTTTCAATTGCCTTTTTTAATTTTTTATTCCTTATTGAATAATATTTAACCGAATATTGGATCAGGTCCATAACGCAGTGAAGAAAATATAGTAGCCGTAACTGAGAGTGTACACGAAGACCGTGGACAGTCGATTCGGTGCCGCTCGCAGCAGCTCGGAC